CCCTGTGGTGGGTGTTTCCAAGCAGCAGATTCCCTTTAGAAAACCTGTCATTTTACCTTATTGGGGGGTCCGACAGTCTCGCCTACCTCCCTTCCGTTCAGTTGGCCCCGGCAATACAGCCTGGTCTCCAGCTGCATGTCGTCTCTGCTGACTCGCAGCGGGAACCGGCAAAACATCTAAATAAAGCTTTGCTCCTGGCCGGGGGACGAGACTCCGCCAGGCGACGAGCTTGTGAACCCCCCCTTGGAGCTTCTGACTCTTTGTGGAAGGTTGCAGCAAAGCTGGAACTTATTACGTATAGACAAGTTTCCCGGGCACTTCCGGTTTACTTCCTGTTTCTGCCAAGAACTTCCGGCGCAGGCTGAGTAGTGGTGTAAAAATGGCTTTGGAATGGCAACATTCGACCGAAAATCTTGTTAAAAATGGTGTTTTGACCATTCTGCATCAAAGTAAGGTAACATCATGGGCGGACAACATGTCGATATGGCCCAGCATCACAACATCCAAGATCTTTTCTTATTTTATTGATTCCATGGAGGTGGATGGGAATGCAATTAATAACCTAAGAAAGCTCAGAGGAGTTTCAGTACCTCCATTCTGACAAAGTGGGCTGTGTACTTTTACACGATATGGGCATATAACGGCCGATGTTCAACCAAGGCAGTCCGTTAACAATTCAGCGCGTAACGCCTGGGTTTTGGTTACCAAGACGGGAGATGTGGAGACTGCAGGCTGTACCTGTAGCCATGCAGCCTTTGCAAAGCAGCGCTTTGGAAGGTACGTTAGCCCATCTTATGCCTGTATTAAGATGTTTGTATGTATCCGTGTGTTAATATATAACAGAACACGAAGAGTAATAAAAAGAAAAAGTAATCCCCTCTAGCCTGCCTGCACTAAAAGCATGCTTTAACCCTTCAAAGTCGACTGACGAGCGTCAAAGTGCGCACCCCTGACATATCTATTAATAGCTTCAGAATGGATAAAGGTATTAACTTACTTTTTTTTCTCTGAAAAAGCTGACATTCGTCTGCATAATAATTAGTAGACTGTGTTGACTTCCGCGAATGATAAGCCTTCCGTATTTGAGTGCAAATCTATAGCATTTTACTCACTTGTAGATGGTTGATAGTCGAAACATTCTCCTTCCGACCAAACATTCAGCAATCGCCACGAGTTGTTGCAACCGTGAACAGCACAATATGTCCCGGAGCCGTGTAACACCATCCATAGTTTACTTTTTCTGCACTCTAACCAAAGACCGTAAAAGACGCTAACTCGCTAACCGGAAGTGCTTTGCAGACACAACCGGAAGTCGTTGGCAGAGTGAAAGGCCAATGGCGGCCCGCTTATTTCACTCAGGAAACTTGTCTATATATCTTTGGCTTTGGAGAAGCAGCGGAGGGAGTCCCACAAGGCTGAGCAGGGGCCAAGAAGGAGCAGAGAAGTGTGGAAGAGACAAAGAGTTTTTAGCCACGCAGTGCCACAAATGTTCGAGTTGTCCTGGAGTTCCGCTGGGGGCAACTTTCTTCCAGGTACACCTGATCACAGCAGAGACTCACTGGTCAAGGATTGGCAACTGAAACCGGCTCTGATCCTTGCTCAGACATTTTACCGCTGCATCGTCACATCCCTCCACTTCCAGGAAAAGCACTGAGGTGTAACTCTGGATTCCGCCTGGTTTGGTTTGGAAACTTTTTAATTGCCTATTAAGTGTGGCAAGTAAAAATGTTCAAATAAATAACTTTGATGAATCAAATAATGAATAGCTGCTGAGGCGATAGGTCCAGGTCACACCTGGACAAGCATGTATAGGTATTTTTGTGCAGCTTTTGTGCCCATTTCTGCTTGTTCAATTTAGCCTTTCCAATAAGATTAACAGCCTCTTGCTTCTGATACTAGCAAGTCTGCTATCTGTCATTGTCGCGAGTAGATGGCACACCTCTGATCCCGTCTTTGTGCTTTGGCTTCTTATTTATGTTGAACCAAAGCTCGTTAAGTGATTTGTTGCTCCCACCTCAGAGTTTTAAATAGCTTTGTCATCTTGGAATTCAGCTCACGCAATGTTAAGCATTGTTGTGTTTATTGGCCTACATTTCAGGGGTTGCAGAGGACAAAAGTGGCACTTAGAAAGAAAAGCAAACGTTGAATTAAACACAGAATTTTAATTGGCTTCTTATGTGTTTTAAGGTGGTGAAGGTCAAAGACAATAAGCAACACAATGGTGGGGTTTACGTATGCCTGATAAAGTTTTCCTTGGTTTTTCCACTTCAGATGAAGCGCAGCGTGCAGTCGCTTCTCTGATTCCCAACGGGGTTCTAAGTGCGTCAGACAGTCTGAAAGGGATTACGCATTTATAGAGTTTTTACTTTTTCCTCCAACTTTATTCTAATAAATAGCCATTGTGATTTCACTTTGATATTTCTCTCAAATTATTATGACATATTGAACATACAAATATGTTAGTTCAAGGGTTTAAAAATGTCTTTACGGTATAATTGACGCTTCTGTTTTGTCCCGAACATAAGTGACAAAAAGGTTAGACATCCCTTCATATGTGTTGACTTGGCAGCGATAAGTGGATCCATAGGAAAATATGTATTCGTCATTTTGTAATCATTAATCATGTTTATTTCCACACAGGTTTCTTAGAGTGTCCTGTACTTGGTTTTCTTGGTGATCTGTGTTTAGGACCACAAATATACTGAACCTTAGGAAGAAATAGGCTGGAATCTATGCAAACAGACAGTTGAGAGTTGTACCCAACAACCTTTAAGACAGAACTGATGACAACATGACAAATTCATGCTGCATTTCAGATGTATCTCACAGGCCTCTGAATTACTACCATGTAAGAATCCATCAAACCACATGCCGGCGATAGGCACCTGGGATTGTTTTAGCTTGAATTGTTTATTTTGCAAAGAATACTGTCTTTGAATCCATAAACTGTAACCTCTCAAGGGGCCGTCACTTTCAGTAGAAATGGAAATGACATTGAATGACCTGAATACATTGAATTCTAAATGGATCCTGTGAAGAGATTGTTAACGGCTGTTTACAAAATGAAGAATGAGATTGTCTCAATGTACCTCAATAACTGCCTTGAAATCAACAAACCAACATTTTAAAGCATGTCATGATGTCCAGTGAAATCCTTAATTGCTGGTTATTTATTGCATTTGAAATTAGGGTTGAACTCCAAATAGTTGATGTTTTAGAGATGCAGTTTTTTTTACACAGGAGCAATGATATACTTATTTAGATTATTCACTGTAATGTATTGATCCGTTTGAAGGGTCATTATTAGTGATTCAGTGGCTTTGTGAATTTAATCAGCTTCTCCAGGTACTTGTAAACACTGCAATGACGTCTTTAAAGACAAATGATTCATCAACCCAATCGCATACATTAGTATACTAAATTTGTATGCTATTTGTATGCCTCGCTAATGAGTTAGTACTGTTTTAGCTACGTACAATCCATCTAATGATTCTTTCTATTACAGTGTTCCTATTTAACTCCCAGTTGTCATATGATAATCCACATGTCAGAAGCCCATGGTGGACACCTCCAGTGTAATGTTGTGTACAGCTCAGTCTCTTAAGCACCGCAGACATTGGCTTTGAGTGGGATGAATCTAAACAATCAATAAAAGCCCCACAAATGCAAATGACGCACCCACAGTTTACGCTTCTATCACCGATGAGTCTGCCCCACAAACCAGGGGCCGTGACAGTTTATCTTCCAGCAAAGTACAGTTTCTGTACCTTGATATTTGCACAGTGTCTTCATCGGATGTGTCCTTTTCTGTCCTGTCTTGCATTGTTCTTTATCCCTTTTGGTTTTGTACAGGTCCTGCTATGCTCTATCGTAGGCTGTCCCACCCTAATAACGTATGTCCTGTCCAGTTCTGGCCCGTTCTGTTTGTTCCACTGCATTCCTCTGCAGTTCTGACCCGCCCTTACTGACCTGTCCAATCCTGTCCTGTCCTGTCACAAGCTGTCTTGCATTGTTCCATCACGTTAGCTGTCTGGTCCTGTCCTGTTCTCGTCCATCCTGCAGTGCCTTGGCCTATGCGACAGACTGTCTTGCTTAGTTCTTATGTCACTCTGGGTGCAACATGTGTTTGAGCATGAGATGTGAATCTACAAATTCATTCCTGTGTTTGACTGAAGCCACTCAGTCCTCACGAGTCCTCGTGTGCGTGCTTATTTATGTGTGAACCAAGGTGAACCCAGCTGAGCCACCACAGCAGATCAAGAGCTGATTGCTGCGGCAAAGATGGGGCCGTCTGATTCTCCTCAATACACTTGGCCTTGACTAAAATGTGATTATTGACAGACGGGGAAGTCTCAGAAATGTCCTGTGTGTAGCACGACTCATGTCATATGGTAACTGGGAGAGGAAGGCGGCGTTTTCTGAGGAACTTGCTCACTTTGCACATCTGCTTTACGTCACGTGGAAACTGGGTCAGGGCCTCTCACGATGCTCTGTTTTTTTCTATGCGCCGTTATAAAATATACTCAACAGAGGAAAACAGTGTCAGACACTAACAGCATTTATGATGTAAGAGCTGAAATCAAAGTAGTTCTTCATTGAGGTCACGGTTGTTTGGACACTGTTTCCCAAATCCAGTTACATAGCGCTGTCCTGTCATGAGCAAGGTATTATAGCTCAGAGACACACTGGTGGGGGTCAGTCAAGTCCTCTCATGCAAAATCTCTCCATCCTCATGTCTCTCTCTCTCTCTCTCTCGCTCGCCACCCGCCACCACTACACACTCACACACAAACCATCTCTCCAACTATGAATCTCTCTCTAGGTAATCCGTCAGTATGCATTTTTAAATCTGTCCCTAATCTATATTATTGGCATAACACACTGGACAAGGTTAGGATTCAGACTTAATTCATCATTTAATGTTTGACTCTTGACATTGTGGTTATTCTTAGTGCTTGATGTAGACATGACACTATGCTTTGTCTTTTGTCTTTGTGCAGGAGAAGTTGCAGTCCTTCACTTTCTTGGTGTTTGTGGTGGTGTGCGTCTTGGGATCGATCTACCTCTATGTCGTTCTTCCCGAGACCAAAAATAAAACATTCATGGACATCAGTCAGAGCTTTGCCAAGATCAACAAAATCCCTGCCCCCCCCATCGAGCATGAGATGGAGCAGGTTCTGTCCTGTAAGCCCTTCATTAATGGAAAAGTCCAAGATGTTGCCAAGATGGAGAGTTCCTTCTAGCCAAACAATGTGTAATGCAAACCATACAAATTTGGAGGAGCAAGGTTGAAATTTAGACTAGAAGCGTTTTTTGTTGTACATATTTATTTAATCAATTGTTAATTAACTGACATCAATGAGCAATGCGTTTGTTTCAATGCATTTTATTATGTGTTATGTATACAGGTATTTTGTATGTATTTTGAATGACTAATTTGTTTGTTGAATGGCGGAAACCTCAGATTATTGTAGTCAATCTACAGTTAAAGAAAGGGAACAGAGGCCAAACGGTGTTGATGAAATATGTATGTATTGTATAAACATTTTTTTAAATGACAAGACGTTTCCACCAGAGTATAAAACTTATAATATAAGAATTGTAGCAAGAGTCATATCTATCATACAGCTCAGATTCTTGGAACAGTGATCTTTTTATATTTTTTCCATGAGCGTTGATAGTCCTGATAAATCATGTTATTCAACAGCAGTGCAGCAGCTGACCTCTTTTAACCACCATTGAAGCATATTTTGATGGCATAGCTCTCTGTGGAATACAAAGCAGCATCGCTTCTATACAGTTCACATACTGTCTGCAACACATTGCAGGTAGCTTATTGTGACTTAAGCATTAGTTTGTTTTCTTTGGTGATCTGTGTTTAGGACCAGAGAACTACAGAACTTTAGAAAGTAATAAGCTGAAAATAATGGACACTTAGGACAGTTGTACCCAACAAACTTTAACACAGAACTGATGGCACCTTTGACATGGTGTGACAAATTCATATAAATTGATAGATTAGTAAAAAAAAGATGGAAATTATGACAATCAAGGATAAAAGCCAATTATCAATCGAGATGTAATTACACACTTTGGGCGTGGAACTGATTAAACTTGCTAGAATCAGACAAGCTGTAGCCGCATGCAATATCATTTGTGTAATGTTTCATCTTTGTTGTCGTCAGAAAGCAGCTTCCTATGGAGAAGGTGACAGACATCTGCAGACAGTCTGATGAGAGACATATTTTGGAGGATTAAAATCGTAATACTGATTTCTTTCTTTCCAAAGTAGACAACAAGAGAGGGAGAGAGAGAGAGAGAGAGAGAGAGAGAGAGAGAACCAATGGAGCGCAGGAAAGCTAAAGGGAACCATTTTTGGGAGCCGCTCCAACTCTGAAAGGAGCCACGGCTGCTTCCCAGCAGATGGGGGGGAGCCGGCAAAGGAGGTGATGTGAACACAAGCAGACAGGCGTAGCATTGAATAGCAGTTATACAGTTTGCTCCGCAGTAGGGTGTACTCTGCATTTCAAAGTCCACTATTCGAGCCAACTCCCCGCTCAATTAGACACAGATACACAGCGGAGTGTGTCACGCAATGACAAAAGGATGTCCATGTATCTACATGGCATTTTTGAAGACAGGTGGGGAAATCTTAGTTGAAATGCCACAGATTGCATTTGTTCAACTGGGAACCCGGCGGGGAAGCGAGGCGATGATAATGTCATAGTAATAAAGTCTTGTCCCACAGCTCTGTTCCAGCAATTTACCTCTCCAGAAGTCACACTCTCAGCAGCATTAGTGGATTATTGACAGGAAGATTTTCTGGTGGGGAATTAATTAGGAGACTTTAAGACATAAAGACTTCATGTTTAATTAGATGAAGTTTATAAGGAAAGGCTGAGGGATAAATTACTGTTTGTCCGACCTCTTAGATATTCTCTCAGGAGATGTTGTTAAATCAACTTCCCATTATGCAAAGTAAGAAGTGGGCACAGCGGGAGGCGCTGTGTAGATGTTGCATGCACTTTGAAAGGTTTTGAATGATTTTGTGATATTAAATGGCATGCGTAGTGCTCATTCTTCAGTAAACTACACCTTGAGACCCTTTTAAAGGAAGCATCAACGTCCCCCCTGGTTGCAGGAAAGAGGGGATGATATAATATTACACTACCCAGGTTTAAATGTCCTCCATATGAGATTTATCTCAAGCCAAAGTGGTTGTTCTCTTTATAAGTTGTTATAGTACCCTTCTTTGGTGTGCTGAAACTGTGACTGGTTCTATCCAGTATCTCTGATGGCATATTTTAACCTTGACCCTTTGAGGACCGGAAAGTAGGCCACTAGAGCAGAACAAACAGATAAGCTGTCTTTGTGAATCCTCAACAAAGCCCTCATCTCTTTTGATATCATCCAAGTGTAATCATTGCTTTTAAACTATGGATTTGGGTTTGCAACTGTGCAGTCAGTGCAGGGAAAGCTCCTCGTGGAGTGCATATGAAAAAAGTCAAACAACAGAACAGAAATAAAACCAATTTTCTACTTGTAACCCATAAGCAGCTATCGTCTTTTTTACCTGTGTTTGTTCTTTGGTCCGAGCCTGGGCATGTGAGTTTTCTGCATGCTTGCGTCTCCATAGTATCCTAATGCTCAGCTGCAGTGAGGAATGGGTTGTTTTCTGCCCCTGATACAACGTTTATGTGCAAACCAAAAATAAATAACTATTCTATTCTCTGTGCATGCATGATTGTAACGTGCGCGCAGCATGGAGAGACTCCTAAACCTCCCACTCATCGGTTATGCTTCTAAATACTGGTGTCAGATTTCTAACTTCATTCCTTTATGTAAATCATCATCATTATGCAATTGTGTATTATGCCTAATTGTTGTATATTGTGTAATATTAAATTATATTATTATCTTGTTGTAAAGTCACATTGACCCGTTGCATCCCAGCCTCCCACACTCTGCTGTCTGCGTGGAGGATCCACCTGCTGAGTTGATCATTTGAACCCGGTCCCACAGGGTTCAGCAGGGCCTGCGGATACTCTCGATACTTCTTGAGTTTCTAGTTTGTTGCGTTGGCTTTATCTTCAAGACCTACGTTGACATTTGCGCTCATTAAAAGAGTGATTTGGCCAAAGGGTCCTTCAACTGGCAGTTCCATTAGAAGGCTGCTGTGTCCCTAAAGCACAAGCTTTCTCCTTCAGTCTCACTGGTGTTAGTTTCCCTCAAGTGAGCCCAAGTATTTCAGACCGCCTCAGATAAATATTGAGAACGTGAATGGCAGTGTTAGAGGTGCAATCTGTGGTCTCATTGTCAGTTTCTGATCGGAATAACAGCAATGACAATTCGACCCTCTCGTACTGACTCAACGAGCGATTTACAGAGCAATTGTCGAAAGTACAAAGAAGTACAAAGTAAACATACCCACGCCGCTTAACTAACCTTTGGGTTGGTGCAGGATATTGAATGATTGACATAGCTTTTCAGTAAACCATTGCATATTATATCTTTCAAATGGAAGTAAGAATCTAAGACTGCTGAAGTCAAGTGAGGAGAGGGTTTTTCCTCTTTCACTACATTTAACCTGACTAAATGGAAAGTGGTCTATATACGCTTCCCTTCATTGATATGCTCATCAAAAAGACAATTATCATCAGCTATGCAACAATGAACTGATTTACTTTTGGATTTAAACTTCATTATTGCAATGAAGTGAAAGCTCAGGCACTGTGTTAACCCTCATGACCCTTTATCACTTTACACTGTGCAGTGTGATGTGAGTCTGTGTGTTATAGAATAAATCACTCGCAGTCCAAAATGACCTCCCTAAATGTTTGACAAGGCAATGATAGGCAATTTACACAGTGGAGACTCAACTGAAACAACACCGTATTTAATTATACATGTTTAAAAAAAATAGTCACGATTGAATAAGCCGCGGATCAAAAGAGCCAAACATTGGGATCGACCCAAGAGAACATGAAGAAACAAGAGCTGTGTGCTGGAATCCCTGACCAGCTTATGGAATCATTCCAGCCTGAAATGCCGCCCACATCGCTGATTTGTTCATCGATTCAAATAGATTGTTGCAATTTGTAATGGCTGTTTACGTTATTTAGTGGGCGTGTGCCGGATTAAGAATGTCAGTGTGATCTACCTGCATAGGTACCTGGCTTTAAAACTGAGATACAAAACCGTTGCTAAAACAAAAGCTAAATGTTTCTCTAGTACTGTTAAGGTTCCACATATGAGCTAATGTTAAATGTATGAATGGTAATGAATGGTGTTAAAAGTGTCAGCGATTCATTAAATGCTACACGCTCCACAGTGTAGTAGTCTACACTGTTTAGTCTGTTTTTCCTACATACGGTTTAACCCTGCTTGTGCCAAGTCCACCGTTTAATATATCCCACGGTGAAAAGGCTCCGGACACAAGCTGTTTTGCACAGACATCATTAACAAGATCCACAATTTAAAAGGGGGGTTAACAGCCAGCCGCCTTTACCCGCTGCTGGGACACCGACACAAGACATTTAAACACGTATGCCACCATTCAAACGCATGAGTGCCAGGATCTGCAGCTCCAGTTCAGACCCGATTGACCTTGTACAGTACAGGAAAGGCAACTTATTCAGGCAGCAATGCGCCGCCCCGCCCCACTGCAGCGGTGAAGGAGGGGGTTGTCATGCTAATGACCCACTCAGGCTAATGAGCGTGCTGCTGGGTTTAACCTACACTTGGCGTGGGTGGAGGAGCTCCTCAGGACAATGCACACAAACCAAACATTTACTTCACACATTGAAATCAGCACAGTATTCTTATTGATTATGAGAATATTTAATAAACGATAACAGTAATGTTCAGGTCCAGTGCAGGAAATACTGAATAGTGTTCATCAAAGTGGAAAGTAAATGTCTGCATGTTTAATGCATACTTCAGGACAGCAAGGGGAGGGTGACCTTTTCTATGTCGTATTTCACGGAACGACAGGAAAAGGCTCCTTAAAACACATGAGGCCGTGCTTTTGGGGGGAAAGGAGGGTACAAACAAGCGGGATTGTTGCTACTCTTGGGAGTGCCCACCTCAACTCAAAGGTGCAACACAGCAATCATCAGAACAAAAATGCTACAGCCCCCACTCTTAGTCCAGTTTATACTTGCATGCATACGGTGGAGGGACCTCACCAGGGGTGCTTAGCCTCTCAACAATGGCGCTCTACTGAGCCTAATGAAAAACAAAAATGATAACAATTATGGAGGATGGGCAGATGGATACTTTATTTCTCTAATACGTTACTGAGAGTAATCGGATCCATTTAAATCATTTAGAGCACCAGAACAAGAAATCAATGAGAAGGGGAACCAGATTCCCAAAGTATTTCTTTTCCATTTGCGTGAATTAAGGTTTCTAATACACAGAAGTTCACGTATAGTACAATACCTATTTATTTAATGTAATAATAAGAATAATTCATATCCCAACTGGAAACTTGTAAGCTTTATGGTGTTAGGCTTCAACCATGGTGTTTAGATTACCATGATATTTACATACCTAATGAGTGTATATTATGATATAATGTTAACAGAGCTTATTTTCTTTTGGAAGCAAAAAACTGAGCTGATGCTACATTTGGTGTCAAGACACGGTCTCACTGGGCATTCCAACTAAATGATTTTAAAGGACACAAGGAGAACACAGACAAAGGAATAGTCACTTATATATTAACGCACAAACTCTCAGTAGCGATTATAATCTGATTCAGAGTGAGACGCATGCATGTAGGTCAGTGCGTGGGTCCGTTGGCCTAATGGGAGAAAAGAACACCGTTCGTGTCTTGAAATAGTTTAAAATGACAGTGCGCCAGTACGCCATCTGTAGAGCTGCTGATTGCAGCAAACTACAAAGCCCAAGGTTAATTTGGACCTGAGCCATATTTGTAATTCCAGGTCCACAAATAAACCAGCTGATGTCATTTACTCACACTGTGTAATTTCCAAATGATTTCTCATCATTGACATTTGTAGACGATGTCCTTGTGTTACTCTGCGTCTCACTTGTTGTCTTTTTTTATACAGTGGAGTTTATGCTCATATTCAAAAAATTACTTTTGGGATAAATATTTACAACTATATTTACAACTAAAATTTTTTATGTTGTCTTTGTTTATTACTTTAACTTTTTAAAGTAATACATTTTACTTTTGTTTCTGGGTTATTAGTATGTATGCTGAGAACAATTTTCATGTATCCGTCAGCATTCGAGGCCAATAAAGCTGATTCTGATTCTTAGGGTGTGCAAACAGAGTTTAATTTTGAGAGTATATTCAAGCTATACTATAATCATAAGTTGTCCAATGGGAGAACATCTTGATTTAAAGGTCTATAATAGAACAAGATGAGCATTATTTGCCTGCTGGAGCTCCATCTGACTGGGAGCTCTCACAGTAATTACACTGGATTAGCCTTTGTGTCCACGCTTAATCCCTTCCGTATGTGGCGTGAATAGAATTACAATTGTTTGGTTTGATATTCCAATGACAAAACATACAAAATTCCCTCTCTAGCCAAATTTGTGACGCCCTCTGAATATTACAGAATTGATAAGAGTTATTTGGAAAAGATACATTTACACACAATTCTTTCACATGTCTGAAATGAAAATACGAAAACAGTGTGACAATTTTACCGGAATAACTGGTAGTGATGAAACTACGGAAAGTATAACGTAAATCTGCAGCTGTGTTTGGCTTTATACTTTATCAATAAATATTTTTATAGATGTATACCTTTTTAGCTCATTGTTTAGCTGTCAGAGTCTGCAACTCTTTTGGTTCAGGTCCAAAACCCAGAAAAGTACCCAGAGTACACTACCTGCTCCTCGCCAAGCAGATACAGAACAGAAAAGAGATCTTCGGAGGTTAAAAGTCACAAGTTATTACTTATGAAATCATCTTACGTCAATGGATAAAATTAATTTGATTTCTTTCATTGCTGGTACACCACAGTGTTTATGGAAGTAAATGGACTGTACTTGTACAGCACCTTTCTATTCTTCAGACTTTTCAAATATGAATAACTACGAACCAAATGTTGCAGTACTCTGACATGTAACACAAGATGTTAGTTGGCTGGCCTCATTTCAACAGATACAATACAAAGAAAGATCAAAGAATGTCAGTACGCTTCGGGGTGTAATGTTCGGTGTAAAACAAAATAATAGTAAAATACAGGCAAGAGAGACTGGGTTGTTTTATGGTAAAGCTTCTGCAGCTATCGCAATAGTATATTATAGCAGATTGGATTATGGTATGTAACAGTAGAATAACTAGGTGACGGTATTTTTGCACGTACTGTATAAACCAGCATGTTTAAAATAAGCTAGTTTTGCATTTAACTCATGAGAAAACATGAATAATCATGACGGCATCACAATACAGGTAGTGTGCTTGAACTTTACCTCGGCTGAACAGCAGTTTTGGTCATGATTATGTGAACGGAAATATTACACAGACTTTTTTTCTGAAAAAGGGTTGAGTTTTCTGGGCTCTCGCACTTCACATGATTGCATAAAAATTCAAGTTGTAACGAAGGCGTTGAGCTTATAAAGAGCTGGTGAGCTGACTCTGATCCCACAAGGATCCACAAGGGCCTATGATCTTACTGCTTTTGCTGCATTCATGCCCACTGTGTGAACGCCATACGCATCTTATACACTTCATACCTAATGTGTTTATGTTAGCTGGTGTAGCAGGTCCATAGACGGCACTGTTTGGTACAGAGGAGGCAACAGTAACAGACGACTGGAAGAGTGGCGGTGATCGATTGACTGACAGACGCACATATATATATATATATATATATATATATATATATATATATAGTACCTTTGTGGGTTTCGTGTGGCTTGTATTTTA